GAGTAAGCAACTTCTGAACAAGGATGGTAGTAGGGGCCTGGGCAAGTGTCTGATGAGTCTTTGATCAAATCTAAGCCACAATACAATATAAGATGTATTATTCTTTCATGTACCACCACTGCCAAAACAACAAAATACCCCAAATAGGAGGCCTCCCATGTAAAGCTAGGACAACAAAAGGGCTACAAATGCAATATAAGCAAAAGAAGGATAAACCCAGCATTCAGAAAGAGTCAGCAAGGAAATCTGAAAGTCTCTACTGTACACAAGAGAGAAGGAATTTTATCTAAAAGACAGTACTCACTTAGCTTTGCAGTCTGAACTCATATTACCAGTGGGGTCAAAACCAAAACACATCAAAACCAGCAAAGACAAAACAAAACAATAAATATTTCAGGCAGAGAATTTAACTTAACGTGGTCTTAGATTGGTAGTAGTGCAAATAACCGGCAGAGTGAAATGCAAAACCTTTCTGAAGTAATCTGACTTCAAGTGAGGCCAATAATGATTACCAAGACATTTCCCTATTTCAGACATTTTTTAATTTCTAGAATTTCTAAAAAATACGTGTCTTAGAGCCACTGAAATATGGTTGATGGAATGCATACCAAGCTATATGCTGAATGCTCAGAATCTTTCGGGGTGGGTTAATTTAGGGTTCTCAAACGTACTTTATAATTTCATATAGGTGTTGATTTATTTTTAAAATAACTATAAAAGACACTATTAAAAATTATAAAATTGTTTCCCTTTCCATCACATTTAACCATATTTATAATTCCTCTAAATATAAAAACTCTCATCCATTTTAAAACAAGAACCCCAAAGAGTAAGATCAGACCACTAATACCTCTACCTTAGACTCTATGTAAATGCTTCCACACTCTGGGATTTTGATAATGAAATTGCAAAATTCACCACAGACCCTGGTAACTGTCCAGACTTAGAAAGACAACAGCAAACTTTGTTTCTGCCAAGGATGATGATTTACAGTCCCACTCTGACATCTGATATTCCCTCTTTTGCTCACAGGCCACAAATACTAACTTAATATTTTCATTATATCCAGAGTATCCTGGCTCTTTTTAAGAAATATTAATCCCTTCTCAACAATGCCACAGTGAAAAAAATTCTTTTAGAACTTTTATAATTTTCCAGAAAAGCAGTGTTTTCCTAATTCAAACATACATTTCTCATCTATTCCAAGAGTAGTACAAACTCTGCACAAATTACACACCATGGTTGCTCTGGGATCTTTTAAAACTGCAAATTTCAATGTACAGCAAGCACATCATCCAAATAAGTTGTGAGACGGCCAAAATTGCTTTAGAATGAAAATAAACACCAACCAATCACTACAGAGAGTTTTACAATCCAAAAGTGTGACTTACAAATAAACCAGGTATTCAAAGGACCACTGCTAACTTCCCCATTTTTAGTGGGTTAAGGTCCTCAGAGTCCTCACAACATAGGCCTGTCTACAGCAACTGATAGAAAAATTCTAATCTGACTCTTATCCCTACCACATGCCATACCCCACCAGAGCACCTCTTTCACTCAGGAAAACTATCCTACTCCCAGATCAAACGTTTACCTATGAGTGAGTGAGTGAGTGTATATGTGTGTGTCTGTGTAAGTATAGGAATTTTCTAAGACTGGAGAAAGTGAACTAACATTTTCCACTTCCCTAACTATAACTGAAGATTCACTTTCCCCATAGAAACAAGGGAATAATGTTTTTGTTTTGTTTTGTTTTGTTTTTTGAGATGGAGTTTCGCTCTTGTTACCCAGGCTGGAGTGCAATGGCGCAATCTCGGCTCACCGCAACCTCCGCCTCCTGGGTTCAAGCAATTCTCCTGCCTCAGCCTCCCGAGTAGCTGGGACTACAGGCATGCGCCACCATGCGCAGCTAATTTTTATATTTTTAGTAGAGATGGGGTTTCACCATGTTGACCAGAATGGTCTCGATCTCTTGACCTTGTGATCCACCCGCCTCGGCCTCCCAAAGTGCTGGGATTATAGGCGTGAGCCACTGTGCCCGGTTTTATAGTGACACTATGTTTCTAACCATTTTATAACAATATTGTTTCTTTGTGGAACTGTGTAAAATCCACTGAATATAAATGTCAACCTACTTAGTAATTCTGGGGATGATATCTGTTAGTATAATTTGTGTGCCATAAATATTTAATCTCAAACATTTAAAAAGTAGCCCATAATCTCATTACACAGAACCCCCATTAACATGTTCTTTTTAATATCCATACGTAACAAAACCTAAACAGCACAGAAAGTCACACAATGAAAATTAAAAAATTTTCTGTTCCTGGACTGCTGATTCCCAACTATACTCACTACTTTCCCCTCCCCGAAGATAATCACCATCGACACTTCTTGAGGACGGAAAGAAAAACACTTATTTATATACCTAAGCGCTTTTCTTTTGGAAACTTTCCTATCATATGCATCAATTTGCAGGCAACGCAGAAAAGGTTCATCTTAGAATATGGCAATCTTTTTAATGTCTAGAAATGTTAACTTCATAAGGACTTTTGTTTGTATAATGCATTTTCATGTTTTTATGTTCCTGTAACCTAGACTATTTGATAACAAAGTATACACAGTGGTTAAGAGGTAGGCTCTGCAGCAAAACTCCTTGGGGACAGATCCTGTGTGATCTGCAGTAAGTTTCTTAAATGTTCCGCCTATCTACAAAATGGGAATAATATGACTACCTATTTAAGATAATTATATGTAATGAATCAACATGAAGTAATAGAACAGAGCTTAGTACGCAATAAGCACTCAATAAATGTTGGCTATTACTGATAATCAGAAATCTTTATATTTTGAATATTTCATCCAAATTTTTGTCAGTAAAATCACTGATGTGCATAATGATACTAAGAAACCAAAAAATCTCTTTTGAACTATCAAAAACTACTATATCTAGTGTTTCTTAACATTATATCATACTATAATCTTAATGTCTTCAATAGATAATCTATAAACAGTGCATGATTTTCACAAAGTGAAATGCTTGATTTTCCACATTTAACCTACTTACAACTTTATACTGCTCCTGTACAAACCTAATTTTTACACCTAATGCCTTCTCTAGGCCCAGCCCTTCTTCTTCTTTTTCCTTTTTTTTTTTTTTAAGAGATGAAGCTCGCTCTGTTGCTCAGGCTGAAGTGCAGTGGCATGATCTTGGCTCACTGCAACTTCCGCCTCCCAGGTTCAAGCAATTCTCCTACCTCATTCAGCCTCCTGAGCAGCTGGGATTACAGGTGCATGCTGTCATAGCCGGCTAATTTTTTGTATTTTTAGTAAAGATGCAGTTTTACCATGTTGCCCAGGCTGGTCACAAACTCCTGAGCTCAGGCACTCCGCCTGCCTCAGCCTCCCAAAGTGCTGGGATTACAGGTGTGAGCCACAGTGGCTGGCAGGTCCAGTTCTTCTTAAGAGACAATATCACTTTGGAGTTTGCACTGATTTATTTGTTCTTTACTTCTGCCTAAGATAATAATTTTTTAGCAAGTACTGACTACCATTTCTCTGCATTTTAACAGAGTTCATTTCTACTTGAATGTCCCAAAGGCACCTTAAATGTATATTCAAAACTTAAAATACCATCTTTGGCCTAAAAACAGTTTTTCTTCCTATATTCATAATCTCACTTAATAGGATCATCCTCCTACTCCCCATCCTCAGTCCTGAGGATGTCAACACCTAAAACACTTCTTGAATCAACTGTCCTCTCCTATCCTTACCACCACTGATTAGATGTCCTAGCCCAGGCCCTCATCTTTTACTGCCTGGACCATTACAGTAGCCTTTTGAAGTGATTTTCCCACTACTAATTTTGTTTCACTAAAACTATCTTTTACTGTACCCCTAGAGTGATCTACCTAAAATTAAAATCCGGCCATCTTACTTCAATGCTTCAAACTCTTCAATGACTGCAGAATAATGGCCTTCTCAGGGCATACAGTGCTCTCATGACTCATTATCTAGTTATTTTCTCCTGCCCCTGCTAAGTGAACATATTTCTAGTGTTCATAATGTTCTCTCTTCCAGGAATATTCTTGTCCATTATGAAAGGCACAGTTTATCAGTTAAACTGCCCATGAAGCATTCCCTTTCCTGGCTTCCTGAGGCTGGGCTAATTAACTTTCCTCTGTGCATACCTGTATGTTTGATATATAATAAAACAATATTCCTGTTCATGTCTTCCCCACTGAACTGCAAGCCTTGAGGACAAAGTCTCATTCATTTTTGTAATCTCAGCACTTAATTTAATACTTAATAAATGCTTGCTAAACTGAAATGAATTCAAAGCTATGTGGAGCTCCAGAACAAAGCCTACTGAAAAGTCATAGCAATATAAGGTAAAGGTAAAAGGAAGATGTCTATGCCATTCATATCAGACAGTGTGCTAGCTACTGAATGCAGTGACTGAGTTATTCTGTGTTGAAGCAATACAAACACAGGTTTGCCATACATATTTCTCTCCTTGGTACTGAGAGCACCAAAGTCATAATTCCAATTTTTATCCCTATTAGCAAGCTTCAGTATGTTAACTACAGTGACGTTTGACCCATATGTCTGAGGTGAACAACTGTTTCAAAAGGCTGAAATAATCTACTGATGCACAGAGATGTTGAGAAGCTGCAGAGAGACACCATTAAGCCCTTACTTTTTTTTCAAACCAGACTTGTTGGCACAGCTGTTATCTTAACAGCATATGTTGTCAAATAGCCCAGAGGGCAAAAGGACAAAACCTGATTTTCCTGGCTAGCCGAGGTGGGAGCTTAATTAATTAATAAAAATGTATTTTTCTAACCAGGTGCAGTGGTTCACACTTGTAATCCCAGCTCCTGGGGAGGCCAAGGCAGGTGGATCACCTGAGATCAGGAGTTTGAGACCAACCCAGCCAACACAGTGAAACACCATTTTTACTAAAAATACAAAAATTGTCTGGGCCTGGTGGTGGGTGCCTGTAATTCCAGCTACTTGGGAGGCTGAGGTAGGAGAATCACTTGAACTCAGGAGGTAGAGGTTGCAGTGAGCCGAGATTGTGCCACTGCACTCCAGCCTGGGTGACAGAGTGAGACTCCATAGACCGGGGTTAGAGGTGGGGATGGGATGGTTTCAGGGTGATTCAAGCCCATTACATTTATTGTGCACTTTGTTTCTATTATTATTACATTGTAAAACATAATAAAATAATTATACAACTCACCATAAAGTAGAATCAGTGGGAGCCCTGAACTTGTTTTTGCAAAGAGATGGTCTCATCTGGGGGTGGAGAGGCAGTGACAGATTATTAGGCTTTAGATTCTCATAAGGAGCATGCAACCTAGATCCCTCGTATGCGCAGTTTGCAACAGGGTTTGTGATCCTGTGAGAATCGAATGCCACTCCCGACCTGACAGGAGGTAGAGCTCAGGCGGTAATGCAAGCAGTGGGGAGTGGCTGTAAACACAGATGAAGCTTCGCTTGCTCACCTGTTGCTCACCCCTTGTTTCGTGGACTGGTTCCTAACAGGCCACAAACCAGTACCAGTCCATGGCCAGGGGGTTGGGGATCCCTGATCTAGGTAACCTATCTAGAAAATGTAATTTCAAAACATGTATTTGCACAACAGCATCAGAAACTACATGAATGATAGGAATAACAGCAAATAAAAATCTGTAAGGATAAGGACACTGTGAAAAAGAACAAAAAGATGGGGCTGTTCTTCTAGTTAAGATTTATTACAGCACTTTAGTCATTAAAATAGTGGTATAGGCCTGAGGGATTGATAAAAAAGAGAGTAAATAAACACTTACATATGTGGGAATTTGCTATATAAAAGAGGGCATTTCCATAGAGAAAGAATTGGCTATTCAATATTCACCATGCCAGGATAATATGCTATCAACACCGTAAAATATAAACATATATCTCTACTCCATGCAAAACACAAAAACAAATGCTAGCTAGACTGAACACCTACATGTGAACAACAAACCTTTGTTTTAGAAGAAAATACAGAGAATGTTTCAGACTTTGGGTAAGAAGAGATTTCTTAAGATAATTTACAAATCAAAAGAGGAAAAATGATAAAACTATATTAAAATTTAAATTTCTGTAAAACAAAAAACACTAATGGGCCTGGGTAAATAGGCTGTATCATATTGATACAATGAAACAAACTATACCAGCTAAAATTTAAAAACAAGATCTACATTTAGCAATGTAGAAAAGCTCTGAAAATATACTGTTGAGTAAAACAGAAAGCAAGTTACAGATAATAAGATGTCTTCTATGTAACATTTTCTTAAAAGGTAGAGACAATATATGACTGTGCCAACAGCACTTTCCAACATATGCGATATTTTATTTCAATGAAAAGCAAAAAACTAAACTAAAGCAAATTAGGCAAAATGTTAACATTTGTTCATTCCAAGGGGTAGTTTAACAGGGTATTTCTTTTGTTACTCTTATTTTTTGTTTGAAATATGTAACACTTTTTAAAATGATGCAAAATTTTAGTATCCTACCCCTATATATGTATATATTCACATAAAATGTGGATAAGAAAAGTAAGTAGACAAATAAGAATAAAGTCAGTGGTGAGACTGGTTTATAAAATTCATATTGTATGTTGGGTATATATGCTAGAGTTGGCTCACAAATCTTTCAAGAAGAGTAAAATGAATACAGACTTAGCAATTATTATTTTTAAAAATCTATCCATTAATATGTATCAGAAATACTGGAGATTTGGTCATTCAAAGCATACTACAGTAAAGTTTGAGTCACCAAAAACAGAAAAACAGGAGAAAATACTGAAGAGTAAACTTGATGTAAGTGATTTATTCATTTATTCCTGAAAGATGTAAGGAAAATAACATAGAAAAAAGGCAGATAGTACTCTGAGAATAGTATGTATGACAGTGTTTCAGAAAGTACATTTTTGAAAGGCTGAAAAGAATATCATTCAAATCAATCTTGTTCAGGAATTCAAATCGACCTTGAATTCTTAAACTTAAAAATAAAAATGTACAGATTCAAATTTAAGAAACTTTATGATTCACTTGGGCAATACACATATACCCCACACATAAAGGTACACATATAGGACTTGGTTGACAAAACATTTTTCAAAAGCCAAAAGACAAATTAAGGAAATATTTAGAGGCAAAACTGCTTATGTTACTATGTAGCAAATAACTCCTTTAACAACTTAAGTTGAAGTCAGTTATCATAGAAAGAGATATTTTAAGTTTACAGGGTTTCAGTGATTCATTGTAGAGAAGGGTCAAACTATTGCAGAAAAATCACAGGTAGATTTTTGCAACCTTGTAAGACTAGGCAAAAACGTAGCAAAGAAACAGCAATATAGACAAATAACAAGGTAATTCAATTAGAGAATAACATTCTTAATTATAGAAAGTTTTCCTAACAATTTGTACTTACAGCACTCAGTCAACCACAAATTCTGACAATAGATAACTAAAATGGAACCATTAGTCCTTTTTCCTGATATGTTCCAGATAAAGCTCTCCCTGGCCTCATCTTTAGGCTGACTTTAAGTCTCTCTTTCAAAGAACAGTTTTGAAGAATGGCACCAATATAGTTACACAGATTCAGTACAATGGTCTTTTAAAAAAAGTTTTTCACCTTTTAATATCATTGATCAAAATAATAATTTCGGATCCAGCAGAAACTTTATTAATAAAAATATAAATCTAGGCACAGACCTTACACCTTTTACAAAAAACTAAGTTAAAAATGGATCATAAACATATACACAAAACAAAATGACCTTGGATACGGCAACAACTTTTTAGATATAACACCGAAAGCATGATACATGAAAGCTGGACTTCACTCAAATTAAAAATTTCTGCTTTGCAAAAGACACTATTAAAAGAACGAAAAGCCACAAACTTGGAGAAAATATTTGCAAAATGCATATCTGATATAGGACTTGTGTCAAAAATATACAAAGCACTCTTAAAATTCAATAGTAAGTGGGGCATGGAGGTGCATGCCTGTAGTGCTAGCTACTTCCAGAGGCTGAGGCAGGACTGCTTGAACCAGGGGGTTTGAGGTTACAGTTAGCTGTAAGATAGTGCCACTGCATTCCAGCCCAGCTGACATAGTGAGACCCTGCCTCTAAAAAACGAAAAACACTCAACAGTAAGAATAATTAAAAAATGGACAAAAGATCTGAACAGACACCTCCCCAAACATGATATACAGGCACCAAATAGGCATATGAAAAGATGCTCAACATATGTCACTGGGGAATCACAAATTAAAACAATAACAAGATACCATTACATACCTATTAGAACAGCTAAAATCCAAAACACTGACAACACCAAATCCTGGCAAAGATGTGGCGCAACAGGAACTCTCATTCATTGGTGGGAAATATAAAATGGTAGTGCCGCTTTGAAAAACAGTTGTGAGCTTCTTACAAAGCTAAACATAGGTTTATCTGAGATCCAGCAATCACATTCCTAAATGAGTTAAAAACTTATGCCCAGAAAACACCTGCACATAAATTTTTAGGAACTTTACTCATAATTGCTAAAAACTGGAAGCAACTAAGAGGTCATTCAAAAGGTGAATAAGCAAACTGTGATATACCCATACAATGGATTATTTTTCAGTGACAAAAACAAACGAGCTCTCAAGCCATAGGAAAAAAATAAATAAATAAAAGAACCATAAATGCACATTGCTAAGTAAAGGAGCCAGTCTAAAAGGCTACATACTGCATCACTCCAACTATAAGACATTCTGAAAAACGCAAAACATAGAGACAATAAACAGATCAGTGGTTGTGAACAGGCAGAACAATGGGAGTTTTTACGGTGGTGAAACTATTCTATATGATACTATGTAACTGTGGGTACATGGCATTACACATTTGTCAAAACCCATAGAACCCCATACAACAGAAAAGTGAAACCTAATGCAAACTACAGACCTTAGAATTAGAAATAGAAAGAAAAATATCTAGTCCAGTCCCTTCATTTTATAGATGAAGACAGTGAGATCCAGAAAGATCAGCCAAATGTTATGGCTCACTTTGGGAGGCTGAGCGGGCAGATCGCCTGAGGTCAAGAGTTTGAAACCAGTCTGGCCAACATGGTGAAACCCTGTCTCTACTAAAAATACAAAAATTAGCTGGGCATGGTAGCATATGCCTGTAATCCCAGCTACTTGGGAGGCTGAAGCACAAGAATCACTTGAATCCAGTAGGCTGGAGATTGCAGTGAGTCAAGACTGCACCACTGTATTCCAACCTGAGTGACAGAGCAAGACTCTGTCTTAAAAAAAAAAAAAAAAGATTAAGAGAGTTACCAAAAGTTGCACGGAAAAAACTGAGAGCTTAGGTCACAGCTGCAATCTAGTATTATGAATAAAGTTTTAAAAAATAGGCTGTGGTGGATTTGGGAAGTTATTAACTCAAGTTAGCCCAGCTAGTATTTGCATTGGGCTACCATTAAAAGACCTTGGAAACTTTCTAACACCCAAGATATTAAATACAATAAAAATGCAATGAATATAAAGAATTCAGGGTAAGTTTATATTCTTTCACTTACAAGTGTAATGTAAATAACCAGAGCTGAGGAACTGACACCTCAAGAAAGCAGAAAAAAGCCTGGGCAATAGAAAGACCCCGTCTCTATTAAAAAAAAAAAAAAAATTAACCATTTGTGGTGGTACACACCTGTAATTCCAGCTACTCAGTAAGCTAAAGCAGAGCCCAGGAGTTCAAGGCTGCCGCAGTGAACTATGATCACATCACTCCACTCTAGTCTGGGCAAGAGACCCTGTCTCTAAAAATAATTAATTAACTACTTAAAAAATTAGAAATAAAGAAAGCAGAAAGTATTTCTAATGGAAAGCCAGAAGAACAAATATTTGAACTCTATGCTTGGTCCCAAGAAAAAGAAAAAAGTTACTGTGCTAAGCCACATATTACATACTCAACCTTTTTGAGGAAGTGATAGAACATGATAAAGCAGTGAAGAACACGAGCCTTGTCTGGAGGCAGATTGGCATGGCTTTATTAACTATGTGTTTTGAGGCAAGTTATTTGAACTCTCTGGGCCTCAGCTTCCTTATGCGTAAAAACTGGAGATAATAGTACCTTTCATAGGTTTAACATGAGACTTAAAGAGATAACCTATGTAAATGACCTGGCACAGAGTAAATGCACTGTTAATATTAGCTACTATTATCAATAATGGTAATATAATAGATTACTTATATACATTTAGGGTATTAAGCAGATGTCTCAACACTTTTTATAATCAGATAGGACACAGGAAAACAAAGATACAAGCAAAGGAAATGGTACCAAGCACTTTGATGCAATACATGCATTATTTTGTGCTGTCTTCTCAACAAGTCTATGAGGTAGGTAGTCCAGCCAGTGGGTCAGCAAGAATTTTGAGAACACCTACCTATCATGCGCAAATCACTGTTTAAGGCACTGGGAGTACAGTGGTAAACAAGACCGAGTCCTCGCTCTTGAGGAGCTCATATTCTCATGAGGAAGAAAAGATAATAAGCATGAAATAAATAAATAGGTTCAAGTGGATAACTGGAGTGAAAGTTAGAAAGGGTAACAGGTGAGCGGTTTTAGCTGGAATGATCAGGTAAGACCTCTCTAAGAGGGACTTTGAGGTGAGTTCAAAACAATGAGAAGGCAGCCATGTGAAAATCTTAAGAGAAAAACATCATGTGCAAAAATCTTAAGTTTGGTACATTCAAAGAGCAGAAATGTATAATAATATGTACTGTATTTTATAGATTAAAATGGGGTTAAAAAAGGTTGGCAATTTGTATAATGTAAATGGCAGAGGCATAGATTTCAAGGTCTAGCTCCAAAGTCCATGGTCTCATGGAACTTCTATGCTGCTTCACTGCCAAAATTAGCAAAACCTCTCAATATCTGTTTTCAGCCAACGAACAATCTTGTTCCCTATCTACTCTTCTAAAATGTAATTGTGAAAATTTCTGATCTAAAGAAGTTCTTCTAAATTCCATAACATCTATTTATATGTTGCAGCAAAAAAGGCAGACTTTTTTTTTTTTTTTTGAGACAGAGTCTTACTCTGTCATCCAGGCTGGAGTGCAGTGGTATGATCTTGGCTCACTGCAACCTCTGCCTCCTAGGCTCAAGCAATTCTCCTGCCTCAGCCTCCTGAGTAGCTGGGATTACAGGCACGTGCCACCATGCTCAGCTAATTTTTGTATTTTTAGTAGAGATGGGGTTTCACTATGTTGGCCAGGCTGGTTTCAAACTCCTGATCTCAGGTGATCCACCTGCCTCAGTCTCCCAAAGTGCTGGGTTTACAGGCATGAGCCACCATGCCTGGCAAAAAGACAGACATTATGAATATAGGAATTCTGAATTAAATAATGTGAAACTGATCACATTAAATAAAATTTTATGTGACCAGTAATTACATTTCCTAATCTACAGATTCTGTAAACTTTTTTTTTTCGCAGGGGGAACAGTCTCATTCTGTCACCCAGGCTAAAGACACCATCTCAGCTCACTGCAACCTCCACCTCCTTTGTTCAAGTGATTCTCATGCCTCAGCTTTCTGAATAGATGGGATTACAGGCATGTACCACCCACTACCCTGGCTATTTTTTTTTTTTTTTTTTTTTTGACAGTCTTGCTCTGTCCACCCAGGCTGGAGTGCAGTGGCGCAATCTTGGCTCACTGCAATCTCCGCCTCCTGGGTTCAAGTGATTCTCCTGCCTCAGCCTCCTGAGGCTGTAGCTGGGATTACAAGTGATTGCCACTACACTGACTAATTTTTGTATTTTTACTAGAGAAGGGATTCACAGTGTTGGCCAGGCTAGTCTCAAATTCCTGACCTCAAGTGATCAGCCCCCCTCAGTCTCCTAAGTGCTAGGATTACAGATGTTAGCCACCATGTCCAGACTTGCTTTTTTTTAAAGACAAATTTCCTAAAATATTTTTATTACAACGTACCCTCGTCCACCCATTAGTTACTTTGTGTTTTTGTAAATGATAGGTAAATATGCAATACCTTTGAAAGCTCTGTGGTACTATATCATTCTTCCATTCATTCATTCCTGTATCCTTGCATCACACATTTATTAAGTTTGTACTAGGTACAGGCACTGCACTCAGAGGTAGAGATAAGATGATGAACAAAAACAAGCACAGTAGCTGCTCTTGGTGCTTAAGCTCTACTGAAATAAACACACTTTAATCAAATTATGGCACAATTATAAAACTAATGTGTAACATAAGAGCAAGTCAAGGTTTATGGTGCAATAGGTCTATTTGCAAGAGTATTTAATTATATCAGTGACACTTCTAAAAATATGATTATTTAGCGAAGATCTGCAGAAAGCGGAGTCAAAGATAGGCTAAAACAGTTTGGACAAAGAACACAGTAACAAAGTGCTGCAGCCATAGTCACTGTCTCTCATTCTCTCTTAAATAAAAGTATCCATCTGGCTTTTGTACCCTTTACTCCACCAAAAGTTTCTTATCAAGATCCCAATGACCTCCACGTTGCTAAATGTAGTAGTCGATCATGAACCCTCGTCTCATTTGACCTAGAGCAACATTTACATAACTTATCATTCCTTCATCCTTAATCACTTTCTTCATTTGGCTCGTAGGACACCTACTGAACAGTAGGTTTTCCTCTGTTCACTGGCTGCTCCTTCGCAGTCACCTTTGCAGAGAACTCCAAATCCACCCAAATTCCATGGAATATATCTTTTGGTGATATCAACAACTACTATCAAAACACTACTATAAAACCCAAAATTATATCTATTGCCAGATCTTTCTCCTCACTTCTGGACACATTTATCCAAGTGCCTCCTCCACCTCCGCATCTCAACTTGAATGTCTTAGAGGCCTCTTCAACTTAACATGGCCAAACTAAAATACCAACCTTTCCTCTCTCTCCCATACATAAATCTGAAGACTTTCCTATGACAGTAAATGCCACTTCCTCCATTCTAGTTGCTCAGGTTAGAAACTGTGAAGTCATTTTTGACTCTTACTCTCACACAATCTGTCAGCAAAATCTGTTCACTATACTATTAAAATGTATCCAGATTCTCTCACCTGGTATATTACTTTAGCTTCCTAACCAGTCTCTCTGCTTCTACCCTTGCTTCCCCCTGGTCTATGCTCAATACAATTTGAAAGAAATATTCACTTCAGGCCAGGTGCAGTGGCTTATGGCTCTAATCCCAGCACTTTGGGAGGCTGAGGCAGGTGCATCACTTGAGGTGATCACTTGAGGAGATCAAGACCAGCCTCAGCAACACAGTGAGACTCTGTCTCTACAAAAAGACAAAAATTATCTCCACTTTTAATGCAATTTCAGTTTAAAAAAAAAAAAAAGGAAAAATTACAAAATTAGCTGGGCATGTTAGCACATGCCTGTAGTCCCAGCTACCTGGGAGACTGATGGGAGGATTGCTTGAGCCCAGGAGTTCAAAGCTGCAGTAAGCTATGACTATACTACAGCCTGAGTGACACAGTGAGATTCTGCCTCAGGAAAAAAGAGGCTGGGTGCAGTAGCTCACACCTATAATCTCCTAACACTTTGGGAGGCTGAAGTGGGTGGATCACTTGAGGTCAGGAGTTAGAGAGCAGCCTGACCAACATGGTGAAACCAAGTCTCTACTAACAATACAAAATCAGCCAGGGATGGTGGTGCATACCAGTACTCCCAGCTACTTAGGAGGCTGAGGACAGAGAACTGCTTGAACCCAGGAGGTGAAGGTTGCAGTGAGCCGAGATCATGCCATTGCAACAAGAGTGAAACTCTGTCAGAAGGAAGGGAGGGAGGAAGGGAGGAAAGGAGGGAGGGAGGGAGGGAGGAAGGGAAGAAGGGAGGAAAGAAGGAAGGAAGGAAGGAAAGAAGGGAGGGAGGGAGGGAGGGAGGAAGAGAGGAAAGAAGGAAGAAAGGAAGGGAGGGAGGGAGAGAGGAATGGAGGGAGGAAGGGAGGGAGGGAGGAAGAGAAAGAGAGAGAGAGAAAGGAGGAAAGGAAGGCAGGTAGTCATTTTTAAAAGGTCGGATCATGCCCACATCTGCAAAAAAGCCTCCAATGCCTTCTCAACTCAATTAAAAATGTAGTCCTTTCGGTCACCTACCTGTTCTCCTACTATTACTTCCTGTGACCTCACATTATTCTTTGTACTCACTGTGCTTCAGCCATACTAGCCTTCTTGCTATTTCTCACATGTGCACTCAAGCTCCAGCCCAAGGTCTTTGCACCACTTATCTTCATCAGAATGTTACTTGCCCAGGCATCTACATGGTTTATTCCCTCCCTCTTCATATTTCCTCAGTTGTGCACTTCTGGATTAGGCCTTTTCTAACCACCTTATTTAAAAGTGAACCTTGCCCCTCACATTCTGGCACTCCCCATTCCCCTTCCCAGTTTTTTTCTACACTGCATTTGTCTTCATTTTATTTACTAAGTGTTTTGCATATAGATTTACTATCTCTCCTCAGTAGAATGCAAGCTCTGTAACAGTAGGAATTTTTATATATTCTGCTCAATGCTGTATCCTCAATGTCCTGTTTCATAGAAGGCACTAAACAGATATTTGTTGAGTAAATGCATGGGTGAAATGCAATATGAGAACCAATGACTGAAAAATGGTCTGTATGGCTGATCTGGAGAGAAGTATATTGAGTCTGAAAGGGCAGCAGTTGATGTTAGGCTCTATAAAGGAGTTTTGCCTTTATTTTACGAGCAGTGGGACACCACTGAATAGATTTAATCAAGAGAAAATCCGATCAGATCTGCAGTTTCAAAAAATCATTATAGCAGCTACAACAGAAAACTAATGGAGGAGGGTCAGTGTGAATGAATAATCGCTACTGTAGTGGTCTTGAGAGATTATGGCAGTTTGAAGAAAAGTGGAGAGAAAAATACATTTGAAGGATATTTTGGGAGATAAGATTGACAGAACTCGGTAATAATTTGGCCATAGAAGTATGAAGGGCAAGAAGAAATAAAGAATAATGTTTAGCTATCAAATTTGCACGAGTAGATAGATAGTAGTGCCCTTTGCTGAAATAAGGAGTACTGAAAAGAATCAGATTCACAGGAAATAACTGCATTTGATTTTAGGTATGTTGAGTGTGAGATGCTTTTGAGATATCCAAGAAGAAATACCCAAGAGACAGATATGTGAAAGCTGAGAATTGAAGGTGAAGCTGAATGGAGGTATTCATGTGAGAGTCATAGGTGTTGACACAGGGTATACATGAGATTATATTTAACTAAGGCATAAAAAGGCACCCAGCCTTAAGAAATGACCCTACTCTCTATGGGCTGGATAGAGGATGATGATCCCAAAAAGGAGATGAAATGGAATGGTTTTGTTTTTTTAAATCACACTCATAAGTTATTCCCTTTTTAAAGTTCAGATTTAAACTATAAGTGTTAGACTGTAACAAGGTTTTTGAAATCAGACCAATTCATCAAAACTCTGCATCTATTCAAAATAGCTCACTTACAGAAACGATGTAAATAATTCACAATACCTCTTTGTAGCTTCAAAGTACATTAATACACAAAAAGCACCCTTCCCTTTCGCCAACTGCCAAGTATATATGATTTGGCTTACTGACGTTTCCTGAAAGTACCCTATCTCTCACTCTGGGCCTTAGCATATGCTGTTCTTTTGGTCTTCATTTCCACTGGGATGAAGATTTCCCTGACTCTCCAAGACCGGGCTAAGCGATCTCCTTCTAGCCATCCAGTGATATCATACAGTATTTTAACTGTATGTCTAACCACTGGTTTCTCTTTTTCATTGCATACTCAGCGCCTAGCAATATGAAATTTTTAGAATTTAGTGCAACGCAATTCTGCAATGTGAAGAATTAAAATCTACACTTACTATCAGTCCATTGACGGCTGTTCAAACCTCGACTTTTCTCAAGTAACGACTTTTTAAAAGCAAGCAGTAATTTTAAACAAATGATTCAATCTTTTGAAAAGACTAAGTTTTGGAGACTTTTACGGTTTTGCTTTCTTTTTCATAAGGCATCCGTAAAGCCTGCAAGAAGTGTTATCTAGGAAGACTGGGGATTCTTTTCCCTTTAGTCTCGTACAAGACGGATTTGACAACTTGCTTTCAAAGCCCTACCCGGGATTTCATCTGACTGAGCAAATAAGGCCCAGAACATCCCTAAGCAAAGGCAAACAAAGGTGCAAATCCGCAGAGATCCCTAATCCACCCCGCGCGTGTCCACAGGAAAGGGCGGAAGCAGAGGCAGCAGCGCAAAGCGCCAGTTTCCACAGCATCATCCTTCCTTCTTGGCCTCACTTCCGCGGCTCCCTGCGACCTTCGAGATCAGGATCCCCAAATCCTCGCCTCATCCACCACACCCCGGGCTTGGGCAGCTGGACTAGTCTTTCCCACGCAAGTCACTGGAAAAAATCCCTAGACTAAGGAAGCTCACCCTAGATGGCTTCGTTTCCAAAATCCCAGAAGAAACGGAGGAAAGAAAAATCCTGTCAGAGGAAAGGTGACAATCCAGCCTACGGTGCTTACCAAGCCGACGCTCTCAATGAGCCCCTGCCACCGCTAACCGTGGGTTCGCGGGAAGCCTCGGGCAACGTCGCGGTGGGCCCTGGGGGTTGTAGTTTCTGTCGTAAACAAAAAGCGCCGGCAGCATTAAAACTACACTTCCCACAAGTCAATGCGAAGTCGTCCTAACGACTTAAATCTGGGATTTAGAGTAATAAAGAGGCCGTCACCATTTTTAGGCTGATCTTAAATGTAGACTCAATATTTTTTAAGAGTCCCTCCGCGCCCTCTTTCTTTGTCGTGCTTGTCTTGTGTAAGACGAAGTCTCAGTGCACTCGTACGCCTTACTTTTTCCTTCCCCTTCTCCAGGACAGAGTCCAAAGGTCCGCCAACGGAAACCGCCCCAGGGCGCAAGCTTAGCGCCTCCGGAGACGCATGCGCCCCGTTCGCAGTCACGCATGCGTAGCAGCCGGGAGCGGTTGGCTGCCGCGCGCCGAGTATTTGGGGTCTGGAGGTAGCCTGCCAGAGGGCGGGGCTTTTTCCAATGGCTTTGCCTCGGCGGGTCGCTTCTGCTTGGGCGGGGAAGAAGGCGCTGGGGCCGGGGCGGCTCCGGGTTTGTGCCGGGCGGAGAAAGGGGAGGGGTTGGGGGTGAGGACCCCGTCTCCCCTCCCTGCTCCCGCCCTCTGGGCTGATCCCCACCGACGGGGCTGGGCGAAGGGCGGGCTTTGCGCCTCGGGCCCCGCCGCCCCGCCAGCTCCGCGGCCCAGCCCGGCGCTCGAGAATTGCCCTGCCCACCCCGTGCCCTCTGGCTCGGCGGTGGTGGGTGAGGGCGCAGGGATTGGAGAAGTGGCGTCTTCCCGGGGGTCTGGAGTTGGCAGGGCTAGGGACGGGTTTTTTCACCGCCGCCCGCCGAAACAGCGGCTGCCCGAGACTGCTGCCCCCGCAAGGAGCGCCCAAGCCTCCGGCCGCTCCGACCAGTGGGCCAGGGTTCAGCGAACGTTCCCTGCCGGCGCCCGGCCGGCTGCTGAGGCGCAGGGAGGAGCCGCGGAGGGCGGGCACTGGTGTCGGAGGAGGGGCGGGGTGGGAACGCTTGGGAGAACCTGGTGGCTGCTCAGACGAAAACGCCCCGAATGGCTGGAGGGCGTTCAACTGTTAACCAGCCTTTTGGGGCAGAGCACGGATTTGACAGCTCCACAACGTGAGAATATCCGCTGACCCCGCGAGACAGAGGAGAACTCTTCGCCGAGACTCGGTCCAGAAAAGCCAGCGCCGCGAGGTTGCAGCTTTCCAACTTTGTTTTTCCAGAAAGAAGACTGCCTTTCGTGTAGAAGGAGAGGTTGAGAGGGTGATCTAGCTTGTAGATTGGCTGAAGGCACCAGTGGTTCGAAATGTCACCCAGATGTGTGTTTTTATGACGATTTGATTTCTCTGATTTTATTTTTACTTTTTTATTTTAAAAATACAAAGTGATTTTTTGGGGCATGCTGAAAGGTAACTGAAGACTGCAAAGGGCAAACTATTGTCATGGCTGAAGGAGAGAATGAAGTAAGATGGGATGGACTGTGCAGTAGAGATTCAACTACTAGAGAGACAGCACTGGAAAACATTAGGCAAACCATTTTGAGAAAAACCGAGTATCTTCGTTCGTTGAAAGAAACACCTCATCGTCCATCAGATAGGATTTCAAATTCTGAGTCTTCGGATGGGTTGAATAAGCTGCTTGCTCATCTGCTTATGCTTTCTAAGAGGTGTCCCTTTAAAGATGTCAGAGAGAAAAGTGAATTTATTCTGAAGAGCATCCAGGTAAGGAAGAACATTTTAGATACAACTGCCTCCCTAGTACAGTGAAATTTTACTTGCAATTATTCACGTTGTTTGTTTCTATTAGATTGTTATGTGAACTTTTATTATGAGTTCACGCTACATCTTTAGCGTGTTCTGTAAGTAAACAAGTAGTGGTTTTCTAGAGTTTTAGGCAGACACTGCTTCGCTCCTGGAAGAATATGTGAAAGCTACAGTTAATTCCAAGTAAAGATTTTTTTAGTTGGAATTAACTGTAGCTTTCTTATATTCTTATATTTCTTTTTACATGTTGTTGGGAAATGTGGCCAGTGTGTTTTTTCACGTTGTCACAGTCTTCTGAATGGAAAGGCTCACGTTTAAAAGCCTCTAAAATGATAAAGGATATTAAATGTTTCCTAGTCAGCCTGTTCAATATAAGTGGTGGAACAATTTTCTCCTGTTTTTAAAAACAAAACAAACCAGGCTGTGTTCTCTGAATGCAACCTTTCTTTTTTCAAGAAGAGAATTATATAAAATAATAGAAGGCTATCTTAAAAGAAGCAAACATTTTCATGTTGAAACGGTGGACTCAGGCAGGATGTTTGATGGAAATGCTTTTATGGCAAATTACTCAACTAGCTTTCTCTGTGTTTGTCTGAATTGTTTCTTTTTCACATGCGTAACTAAGAGATGAGTGCAGCAGATTAAAAATATTACAGTTTTTCCTCCATTTTGTTCGTAATTTATTCTTTTACAAGGTGTGTTAAAAGTTTTTTTTTAAAGTTTTTAGATATTGAGAATATTCAGTAACACCTTATAGTTGCTTGTCAGTCTTTACATTTCTCAATCCACGTGTGTTGTCCAAAGTCATATATGAGAGGTTTTTAAAATTTAAAATGTACTTGGGTACCTATGTAAGTTAAGATTGACAGTTTTTATATACTGGCTTGAATTTAGTATAAAGCAACAGAAAAATCATATCCACAAAATGAAGACTCTATTTAAGATCTTGGGATCTTTCTTCTCACTAACACTTTGGAAACAATTGTTACTATTCTGAGTTACCAGAGAGGAATTAATATACTAGGAAACTGAAATTTACCCTTTGAAACATAAAAAGTTATTTCTCTATCTTCTAGACTGTAGTGACTGTAACAACCATTTTTTTCCATAATGGGGTCATCATTATGTGTGTCAAGTACTGTTGTGCAGCAAAGGGTGGAGTACTGACTATATGATCCATTAGTTCTTATATTTTTATGGGTAATATTTATAGTTTTTCTGTTCTTTCCTTTGCTGTCAGGATACTTCACTTTGGTCTCTTCCTGACCTTTCATTTTGCTGCTTAATTTACATTAAAATGGGAAACCATATAACTAATTTTGTTCAGAGTTACATTGATCCTGCAGCTATAGGCCTTTCAGTTAAAAAAAAAAGAGAGAAAGAGAGAAAAAGAACATAAAAAAGAGTTTCATTGAAAATAAAAGTAAGCAGGTTCTGGGAAATATAGTATCAAAGGATTTTGATATGATACGTAAATGGGTACTGGAATCAGAGTTGGGCTCAAATTCCACTCCGTTTTTTGTTTGGTTTGGTTTGGTTTGTTTTTTTTTTTCTTTTTCAGTCAAATTCCACTCCTTTACTAATGTCCTTGCCTATACTCTTGGGCAAATTCCTTGAACTTTCTAGCTTGGATGTCCGCATCTATAAAGTGGAAGTAACAACTCAGAGCTATTGTGAGAATCAAATAAGATGTAAAGTACTCTGGTATACATAGTAGATGCTCCTCTCCCTTTCATAAGTAAAATACATAGACTATGAGATGTATTTCAAGACTCGCTCATCCTACAAAAGGACTCAAGAATTTTTTTTCCTGGGAAGGTTCCCTATAGATTTTTACTCTTTTTTTCATCTCTGCATCTATTGTACAATTATAACAGGCACTTTACTTACATTGTGTTATGAACACATGTTTATGTGTCTGTCTCCCATAAGAAGGCTGCGAGTTCTTAACAGTATTGGTTGGGACCTGGAAGCTACTAAATAAATATCAGTGGATGAACAAATATGTATTTTCCTTCTGTTTTCATTAGTAATCTGAATAGATGAAGTTTTCAGTTTAGGGAGTTTCCACCCCCTAGCATCATTCATTAATGCATGCAGTTATACAACAAATGTTTATTGAACCCCTGCTGAATGTCATTCTGAGAACTGAGGACCAGTGGTGACAAATTTGACATTATACCAAAGGGAAACAGACCATAAAGAAGTAAACAAATAAAAAATTTCATTTTAGATGGTAAGGGAAATCTTCCCTGAGGCACTAACAGTTAAGCAGAGACATGACGAATGAATAAATATTATCCATACAAAGGTGAGATTTATGAGGGGACATTCCAGACATAGGGAACAGTATGTATGAAGGCCTCAGGGCAAGGAGAGCAGATGAGTTCTAGGAACTGAAAGTAGTGCAATATGGCTGGGATAGACAGTTTGAGGGGAGTGTGAATAGCTTGAGAGGACATATTCTGGAGTTTGGTAGACCTGGCTCAGATGCTGTCATGCGTCACTTAATGATGGGGACATACTCCGAGAAATGCATTGGTAGGTGATACCATATTTGATTGAACATCATAGAATGTTAGATGGTATAGCCCACTATACACCTAGGATATGTGGTATATAGCCTGTTGTTTCTAGGCTACAAACCTGTAAAGCATGTCACTGTACTGAATACATTTTGGCAATTGTAATACAATGGTATTTGTGCATTTAAACATAGAAAAGGTACAGTAATAGTATAGAATTACAATTGAACCTTGAACAACATAGATTTGAACTGCATGAGTCTACCTATAGGAAGATTTTTTTCAATAGAAGTCACACTAAGTTGGATGGGTTGGCTCACACCTATAATCCCAGCACTTCGGAAGGCTGAAGTGGAAAGATCTCCTGAGGCTAGGAGTTAGAGGCCAGCCTGAGCAACATAGCAAGACTCATCTCTACAAAAAAATTAAGAAAAGAAAATTAGCTGCGCTCAGTGGAGCACACCTGTAGTCCCAGCTACTCAGGAGGCTGAGGCAGAAAGATCGCTTGAGCCCAAGAGTTTGAGGTTGCAATGAGCTATGATCGTGTTTGCCCTCCATCCTGTCGGCAGCAAGACTCTGTCTCAAACAAACAAAAAACAAAAGTTACACTGAGTGTGCCTGCCTCTTCTGCCTCTCCTTCCACCTATTTCACCTCTAGCACACCTGAGATAACAAGACCAACCCCTCCTATTGATCCTCCTCCTCAGTGTACTCAAAGTGAAGGCCATAAAAATGAAGACTTTTATGATGATCCACTTCCAGTTAATGAATAGTAAATATATGATGATCTCTTCATTATGATTTTCTTTTCTCTAGCTTATTTTATTGTAAGAATACAGTATATAATATGTATAACATTACAAAATATGTGTTGACTGTTTATATTATCAGTAAGGTTTCCAGTCAACAGTAGGCTATTGTTGGCTAAGTTTGGGGGCAGTCAAAAGTTATACATAGATTTTCAACTGTGTGGAAGGTTGACATTGTAACCCCCTTGTTGTTCAAGGACCAACTGTGTAATCTTATGAGACCTCTGTTGCATATAGCGGTCCGTCCTCAGCTGAAATGTTACACGGTATGCGACTGTACTTTATTAGCTCTACAACTTTGAATAAGTTACATAATCTCTCCTTGATTCAGTTTCCTCATCTGCAAAATGAACATGATGCTTAGGGTTCCTGCCTTACAACGTTGCTGTGAGAATGATGCTTGTAAAGCACAGCACAGTGCCTAGCATATAAGAAATGCTCAGTTAATGTTAGGTATGCATACTGTTACTAGGCAGAAGCCAGATCCCAGAGGGGCTTGTAGTCCATGTTAAGGGTTGTGGACTTTATCAAAGAAATAATGGAAGCCACTGGAGGATTTTGAGCAAGATAGTGTAGTGATTGATAGTTTGTCAGAAAGATCACTCTAGGAGCAATGTGGAGAATGGATTTCCATGGTCAAAAGTGGATGTGTGACATCAGTTAGGAGGTTGTCCTACTGGCCTATAACAAAAATCATAGTGGACGAGGGTGCCAGGTGGGTCAGCAGGAAGTGGAAAAAATTAAAATGGGTTTGGTAGCTATCAAGGAGATAGAAACCACAGGATATAGTATTTAATTGGATTTAGAAGATGAAGAAAATAACAAAATTAAGGATGGCTCTAAAGTTTCTGGATTGAGCTACTTCGTGAATAGTGCAATTGTTTTCTGAGACAAAAAAGTGTCAGGGTCATTTTAGGGGAAAAATGGATGCTGTTTTAACATGTTGAGTTTAAGTTGCCTATGAGATGTCCAAGTAGAAGTAGCTCCTAAATGAATTTCTGCCCCCGATACCACTGTTCTAGTTCTGTCATTGCTGTCTCTCATTTCTTCAGATTAAACTCACCCTCCAGTTTTATTACTATCCTCCACGTGGCTATGGAGCCATTTATCTAAAATAAAAATTATGTAACTTTACTGCCAAAATCCCTTTGGAATAGAATTGAATCTAAACTTCGTAAAGTCACATAATACCCAGCATTATCTGGCTTCCACTTACCTCTCCAGCTTCACTGCCTACCATTCTAGCATCAGCCTCGAATGAGAAAGCAAATATTCATTCAAATGTAGCACTTCATAATGCTTTCTGTTATTCATTAGTAAAGCAGCAAAGGCTGAGGTGCATACGCCGTTTCTGCAGCTGTTCCTGAAGGCCCTTTATTGCTGTAGGTCAGCTGAGAGGACTATAGTTAACAAGGGAGAAATGGTGACAAGGTGGTAGAATGAATTTAATTCCAAGTAGCTAAACCTGTTTAAAAAAAAAAAAAAGCATATGGGGAGATAGCATCTTTTGTTTATACCCAGTTCTCAATTTATTGATTTCATATCAACATGTTTAAATGGATTCACATTTTTGAGAAATATTCTGGGCCAGGCAGGCACTGTACTTGGGACTTAAAGATCAGTA